GCCCCGCCCCCCGTGACCCACCCGGCTATCTTGTTGCGCAGCGGCTTGCTGGGGATGATGGCGATCTCCTCGCAGAGCCTCTTGTTGGTGTGGAAGTCGCTGCCCAGGCGCGTGTAGTACTTCTCGATGATGACCCTGGCGGCCTTCTTCACCGTCTTGGTCCGGACTCGCCCCTGAGGGGAGGCACAGCCCAATCCGTTGTTATGGCAACCCCACCAAAAGGAGGAAAACACTTTGATTCAATTCAGCTGATTTCGTACCAAAACTTAGTTTCTATTGACCTTAAACTTAGATGTTTTAACAGGGATAGTCACTGTTTGTTAGGACGTAACACAAGAACGCACAGATTCAAACTTTTGGAAAACATGTGTGTGATATTTTGAGTCCAAATCTGTTTTTATCTGTAACTCTCACACTTATCCATCACATGAAGTCAACTAAGAGTTAGATCAAAGATTTAATAAAAACTCAATAAAAGGGACCATTCAATGACTGAATATTGGAAAGTTTCTCAATGTTTAATCTTCAAGGCCGTTTTCTAATTATGACTAAATTCCAGGTGTTATTGAATTCAATTACAGGCTGATCACGTGATTATTATTTACACTATTTCGGCCCTCACAGGCAGCTCCATTTACGGACAATGTTTTGTATATTCAGTGGTGTGAAAGTGACTAAATATCATTTATATCTGGTTACTATGTAGCTTAGCTGCCCTCTTTATTTATTTTAAGATTCGTGTGAATTAAACTCCACATCGGGGCTCAAAACCAAAATCAAAGGCTTCTTCTGCTCGTTTGTGATCGAAGTGGCGCCTCTAAACTCTCCGGGCTTCCGCTAACGTAGCGGATTGGAAAGGATTGAGTGATAACTGAAGCTAAAGGTCTGATGTGTACCCACCATCTTGACTCTGGCCGGTGGAAGAGAGGCGGGGCAGCGAGGACCCGGATGTTTGTAGTTTACAGGCTAATTGAGGCGCCACGGCGCCGCCTGGTGGCGGGAGGACGGAACTGCAGCGGGGAGTTAAACTGAGGCTAAAAGGAAGATTTCCAAGAGTTTTCTGCTTAAAATCACCACAGAAACAGTGTTTCACATGTTGGCACTTAAACCTCATGTCCTAGATAGAAAAGATTAGTTTACACTATATTAAATAGTTTTTATTGCCTTGTAATGAATGAATGCTCCTCAACAACTCCAGTGAATTTGTTCAAGTGTGTGAACTCACATCTTATTGTGAGTGGATTCAAAGCCATGAGGTCAACAGATCTGCCTGAAGACAGGAAATTAAAATGGAAAGAGAGTTGCAGTTTCTGTTATCGTCAAATCAAATTTAGACCTGCAAACAGATGTTATAGACGAGTCTGGTCCAGGTATCCCGCGATGAGATTCTGAGTTTCTTTGTGGAGACGGTTAACTTTACAGAAGGATCCTCAACCATTCCTTACTAAAGCCAATGAGAAGTAGATTTTCTAAGATATAAGAAGCTAAATCATCAGATCAAATATCCAAAGACAAGTGGATAAAATCAGCATGACGCCTCTGTGGTCAAACATGACGGTGGTGGCAGCATCATTCTGCAGGGTGATTTAGCTTTAGCTAAAAGAATAACGTAATCAATTAAAGACTAAAATATATGAATCATTTTACATTTCAAAGGTATAAATACAACCACCTTCTCAGTTGATGAGGGACCTGAATTTCTGATTTTACTTTATGCAGCTTTTTTATTTCGAATTTTAAGATTATCATAAAATGCCTTTAAAATCTAATGAATAGAAACGGCTTCCTTCGTCTGGCAATTACAATAGAAACAGAAGTGTTTGTTTTGTTTTTTTAATCCAAAAAATTAGCCAAGCATAACAAAACCATCTTAACACATTCACACAAGGTGGAGAGATCTTTTATTTGACATAAAAAAGGGTGCAAACTGGAGTTTCCCTTTAGGCGTGGAGGGAATAAAAAGTGATTTTTATAAGGAAGAGAAAAAAAGTCATCCCAGATTTAAAAAAAAAAAAAAAGGACCTTTACCTTTCTGCAAATTAAACATATGAAACCATAAAAAGAGGAAACGAGGGTCCTTCATTCTTGAAGCCCTTGACTAACTCAAATACATTTTGAAGTGACATTCATTTTTCAACACAATAATATTTATTTACAGTTTTAGGATTTCTCTTAATCATAGCTCTAAAAAACAAAAAAGAAACAAAAAAAAACAATGAGGGGAGGATAAACTCTTGGAGCTGTACAGCCTGATTTTCCACAGTCTGAGAAGAATAAAGAAAAAAAAAAATCAAAGAATGTATCTGTTATATGAATTCCCAACAAAGACTACAATTGTGAACTCTGTACAATTTACAGTTCAAATAATCATCGCAATATTGCAGTAAATGTCATCCTACACCTCTCCCTCAAAGCAAAAAAAAATATACAGTAAATCCAACACAACTCTACAGTACAGCAACGAGGAGAAAGTGCCAGAGAACCCAAAGAGACCAGAGCCATTCATTCATCACCATCAGCCTCCTGATCTCCACCTGTACGCAACAACGGAGGCCGAGATGGGACAAGCTGCAAAAACAAGAAGGGGGGAAAACAAAGACAGTGGAAAAAAATGTCTTTATAGTACATGAGGACCTTTAAAACAAATATTTATCTTTAAAAAAACTAAGAAAAAAAACAGTAATAAATCACTGGTGGAGCACTTAAAACGACGCTCTGCAACACTTCCGGGTAAGCGCGCGCACCCACGGCGGAAATGAAAAGACAGAAAGACAAACAGCGACGACGACATTCAACTTCATCATTTTCCTGGCACAGTTGGAAGGCGTGGGCGAATAGTAGTCTCAGAAAATGGCACTCGGGGAATTCGGGGAGAACCAGAAAGATAACCTTCTCTAACACTTCTCAGGTAGCTTGGAGAGAAGCGGAAGTCCACCGGAACCGGAACCGGAAGTTCCACTGACAGAGAGGAGGGCCGCTGACGTCACAGGTTTGGCGTTTGTTTAAGTAAAAAAAAAAAAGAAAATAAACGATTAAAAATGGCAATGTGATTAATGTCTAGCAGACACAAGGAGACGTTCGTATCCAAAGCGACGTCAGACAGCGAGAAAAAAATAAAATAAAAATCAGTGACCCGACTTGGACTCCGTCATCTACCAGAGAGAGGCACTAAGACGAGTCACGGAGATGAATACCTGTTATTCAAATAGCCACGCCCCCCCACCCCCCCTATTCCCGTCAACTCCTATTTGTTGTATTACTATGAGCCAAGTCAATTTAAAAAAAAAGAAAAAAAAAGGTCCCATAGATTTTCATATTCAAGTACTTTCAATAACACAATAACTTAGACCCCGGCGCCACTGACGTGTCCGGGGGTAAAAACAAAAATAAAAAAAAAGGAAAAGGCTATACAGTGTAGATACATACAACAAGCAGGTTTACATACTGACTCATTGAGATCATTTGCAACATCCAAACATTCTACAGATGGAGCAGGTCCACAAAAAAACAAAAAAAACAAACAAAAAAACCCCAAAAGAAGTCAACCACTGAGTCGAATCATCATGGACTTGCATGTGTGTGTGTGTGTGAGTGTGTGTGCAGAGGGAGGAGTGGATGGTGTCATGGCACAAAAGATGAGTGTGTGGAGATTTAAAAAAAACAACAAATCAGGTGGAGGGTGGGGGGAGCACAGGAGGCAGCTACAGTTAAAGTAAAAAGCACATTTAAAGTACAGTATTAAGAAGGCAGGGTCTCATCAGGGAAAGCTGGAGGTCCACAAACGTAGTGCAGTCATGGTCTCGAGCTTTTTTTGTTTACTCTCTGTTTCCCTGTAAAACCATGGCTATTTGGAATGGAGAAATTAAAAAAAATTGCATTCAACAAATTCACATTAGCATAAACGAAACACCCCCCGTCCCCCCTAAACAAAACAAAACCCCAAAAACTGTAATACACGTTTCCGTTGGGAGGATAGGCAAGGTGACATATTGAGGATATAGTTTCAAGGCAGTCCTCTGTGCCTCTCTCACCCTGGAGGCAGGTTCCCACCCAAAGCTGGGGGGGGGGGGGGGGTGGGCTTCATGTGTGTGTGGGGGGGGCAGGAACATCCCAAATGCACCAAATCCTCCAGTTGCCTTCACAGGGACACCTTCCCACGCGGGACGTCCTCAGAGGGGTTAAGGCATCGGACAGAGGTGTCATTAGTGGCTGCGATCCTTCCAAGAGTATCACACCAAACCCCCCCCCCCCCCCCACCACCCCCCCAATCCCAACCGGGGCAGACCAATCACCTATTAAGACCCTATTAAGACTTGTGGGAGCCTCCCGACCCAGAAAAGCCCGCCTTGGTTTTGGTCTGGTCGTTTTCCTTTTCGTTAGCTGTAATTTTCCTTCCCATGCACATGATAGATAACTGCAAGCTCTCCAAAAGTCGTTTACTTTTTTCCGTCCATACATTCAGTGTGTATGTTAAAGAAGTAGTAGGAAAAACTAGTGGCAACTGAGAGATAAATAGCATAAATAGCATTTTGTTGTTTTTGTTTTGTTTTTTCCCCCGGCCCAGCTTACGAACGGCAGGTTTCCGCCCGTCGTCACGGCGACGGCGGCAGAACGGCGCCGGACTGTAGTGTGTTCTGGGCGGCGCTGTGGTTTTAAGTGGAGCGAAATCCTCCCCGGAGAGCACCGGTGCAGGAGGGGCCTGGCCCTCTGTCCTCTGACCTCTTTTTGGGGGGGGAGAAAGTGCAGTGTTCAGGCTCCCCGCGTGCTCAGGTTTACATTCAGTCCTGCATCAGGAACCGTCACGATAAAAAAGGAAAAAACAAAAAAAAAAGGCCCGAGTCAGCAAACCGAGGGGGGGCCGGAGACGTGGCTCCATGGAGGTGGAGTAAAGAGAAGAAAACAAAACGGTACGAGACTCCACAGGAGGGCGTTTGTCTTTTTTGGGGGGAAAAAAAAACAAAAAGAAAAACACGGAACAGACACCAGAGCCAAAATATGCCAAAAAATGACAAGACCCAAAAAATCTTAATGCTTAAAAAAATCAATAAATTACAAAAAAAAGAAGATAATCCTCTGCGAGAATCCACCGAAATGCTTCCCTGTGTGGCCGACTGCCCCACAAACTGTGTAGCAGAGGGGGGGGGAGGAAACTTAAAAAAAAAAGAGACAGCCATCAAGAGACGCAGGCGTCTTACACCTCGACAAAGCTTTTTTTTTCTCCTTTTTTCTTTTTTTAAACTGGTCAGAGATCAGCAGAAAACATGTGGAATATGATCTTTCCGTGGACTCCCCCCCGGCGTTCCCGGTGGGACCTTCTGGATTTGTGAAGTCACAACCAAAGCGTGGAACGGATCAGTCCGGCGCTGAGTCATCATTTGTGCCTCGGCGTGTTCTTCTTCCGTTTTCGCTTGAAAAAACAGCAGCACCTGCAGATGGAAACGGACATTTAGTCGATACGACCGGGTGGTGGGGGGAGAAGGGGAGAGGAGAGGGGGTGGCAGCTTCAAATTAAGCAAAATAAAGAACAAACACAAGCAGAATCATGTACAGGAGCTTAATCTGGGCCGGTCAGACCGGGTCGGGTTAGGTTTTTTAGGGCAGTGTTTTTCAACCTTTTTTCAGCCAAGGTACATTTTTTCATTGAAAAAACTCACGAGGCACACCACCAACCAAAAATGTCAAACAAATCTGTATCCGCCTATAGTCTATAGTTATTCTTATCTTATCTTAAGTGTCTTGAATAGGAATCAATTAAACACAAAAATGTATTTTCATCATATTTTATATTTCTTCTTTCAAATTGTACTTAACATGTCCACTTCAATATACAAAATTATACACAAAATCTAATCATAAGGAATTATTACATGATTACGCCACCAGTCACTAGAACAGCACAGACACTCAAAAATGGCATATTATTTGCAGATAATTAATTCCTTATCAAAAAATCTTTTTAGACCAATTAGGTGAAATAGGATGATTTTCTACGGCATACCTGACCATCACTCGCGGCACACTAGTGTACACAGTGGTTGAAAAACACTGTTTTAGGGGATTGCTTTGATATAAATAAGGCACGGGGAATGTGGTGGATCCACTGTAGTCCAACACATCTCTGCATGCTTATTGATGCTTATTGATCCCCCCCACCCAGCTAATTGAGGGGCGGCAGCAACTCGGAGGGTGAAAGATTTCAGAAGGCAAAACAGGAGCAGCGCACACAAAAAGCACAAGACACGGTGAGCCAGTAAAACAGTAAAAACACACAGACGAGAGGAAAAAAACAGCCGTGGACCACGACAGGACAGTGACTGGCTCCTCTGAAAGCAGATACAGATATTCTCTCAGTGAGAACTCGAATTTGGAAAGTCTCTGAAGGAGTTTTGATTACGTTTCTTAGAAATGTTGCAGAAACTGAACTAAAAAAAACCTGCATTTAGCTCGTCAGAGAGTCCTTCCAGCTTAAAATTTCTGCCTCGATGGGACATCGGCTCAGGTTTTAAACCCATAACTCGGCACAGAACATCGTTTAGAACTCATTTATAAGATAATGCAGTAAAAAATAAATAAAAAAAGTAAAAGGGCAGAGACTAGGAATACGTTTCTTATAAATGTTCCAGAAACTGAACTAAAAAAAAAAACTGCATTTAGCTCGTCAGAGATTTCTGCCTCGATGGGACATCGGCTCAGGTTTTAAACCCAAAAGTTGGCACAGAACATAGTTTAGAACTCATTTATAAGATAATGCAGTAAAAAATAAATAAAGAATACAGGTGTCTACACCAGTGAGAGTGGAGTTAATTAAATTTAGTAAGCACTCCACCGGGCCCAGCCCAGGCCGGTCCACTCCCTGTCCCATGAGTCTGATGCGGACAAGCAGAGAGGGACTCACCACAGGTTGAGCATTTTCACGCAGCTACAGAAGAGGAGAGAGGAAAGGGTGTCAAGAGAAAAGAAAGAGAGATTAATACAGTCAGAGTACGATGGCGGGACTGGAACATGAACACACCAACGGGACACCGGTGGACAGAGAGGGAGAAGTCCAGAGATTAGAAAAGGGAAGAAGAAGTACAGAGATTCTAACCAGGTTCATTACAAAGATCTGGACCAAAAAGAAACCACGGAGTCCCAATTAGTTTGATGCTGATATTTCAGATGGATGATGGAAGTCTGCATTTAAGAATTTGACTTTAAACAGCAAGGATGAAAAAAATAAATAAATAAAATAATAAACGCTTCTATAGCTGATCTTACACACACTGAAGATTTCAGTCCATGAATTAATCCAATCATTGAAAGCCATCTTTAGAAGCCACATTATAAGTGTTCATGGCAAATATGACCATTGGGGATGACACTGAAATGTAATAAACACTTTCCTTTTATTACAGTTTAAGCGATGAGGGAAACTGCTTATTTTCCAGTTAGTTTGTATGTCAAATCAAACATAGATACAACTTGCTGTGTTTCCTATTTCAAACCTGGTTGGAGAGAGAAATGACTGACTTTTCTGAGATTTTTTTCCTTTAACTGATTCCCTAATCAGGTTAATGATCAATGGAAATATGACAGAATGACAAAACATCCTCTAAAAAAAGAGCCTGTTGGTTAGTTTGGGATCAGTCAATCCACCGTTGACTGTGGGGGGGGGGGTCACAGGTCCAAATCCCAACAGGAGATCACGAGATACAGAAAAAGAGAGGGAGACAGAAGTAGACAGAGGGAGAGAGGGATGGTGGTGGGGGAGAGAGAGAGAGAGAGAGAGAGAGAGAGGGGGGGGGGGGTACGTACTTTGCCTCGTCGACCACCTCCACCTCGGCCTGAGCCGTGATGGGCGCGTTGGAGTGGGCCAGAGGGTCGTCGGCGTTCAGCTCCCCATTGGTCGAGCTGACCACCTGCGGCACAGACGGGCGTTACCATGGCGACCGGAGGAACGCCCGGCCGGGGCCTTAGAGACATCACGGTTCATTAAACCGTACGGTTTCTCTTTGGGGAGTCACAGGTTCTGCCACCAAATATGGGAACAACTGGATATTTTAAGAATTTTTCCTTATTCAGTGTATTTAAAGCCAAATATGGAGACTAAAGACCGAATGAAAACCAATAAACAACATCTGACTGTGTCAGTAAACAGTGATGAGGCGATAACACAATTTAGAAATAGAATTACAAAAGAAACGTGTTCAAAAGACATAAATCAAACTGTAAATCTTATGTAAACAATCGGGTTAAAAATCATATTTTCACTTGTTTTTCTTTAAAGATCTGACATGTACAGAGAGGTATAATCAGTCATGGGGAAAAACTGCACAAGGAAACATTTGATCAGGAGTAAAAGTAGGATCAGTCAGTTTGATTATTTTAAATAATTGGTCCAATTGGAACGAATAGATGTACTAATCCTCAGTCCAGCAGAAATAATCTCACTTTCCCTAAATGTCCACAACAAACTTTTTGAATGCTGCAGGGATTGAAAACCTTTCTTTTAAACCTAATTTTGCTTCTGAGCTGAATCTGCTATGGGAACAAGTCCCGAAAAGGATAAAGCACACAAAAAAAATGATGATTTTTGTTTTTCTTATCAACTCAAATTTAAAACCAATCAAACTGAAATAATGCTCCATGTCTGCAAGACACTGTGATAAAAAGTAATCTACAACCCCCAAAATGTGGGTTAAACCATTTGATACTCGTTTTGTAAAAAAAAAAAAAACATCCTTTTTGCAACACCTACTTAAAGCAGGCCCACTCAGTCTTTGGATAGAGAGTTAAAACTAGATCTTTGCTACTACAGAGCATGCATTCAGCTGGCTGAGCCAGTTCATCCAGACATGCAAAAGGCATCTCCAAGCATCGTGAAGAGTGGCAGGACCAGAAATCAAAAAGTCCCCATCTTTTACAGCTACAAATCACACTCCAGCATCTGGGGTGGGCGGCACCAGATGACATGCACATGGTGAAGCAGCAAAATAACACTTCCCAGCAAAGGTAAGGGGGGTCGGGGGGGTAGATGGCTGGAGATCTGTCTCACACAGAGGCCTGAAGAACTACTTCCATTTGTCATGATGAGATACAGTGGGGGAAATAAGTATTTGACCCCTTGCTGCTTTTGCAGGTTTGCCCACTTACAAAGAATGCTTATTTTTCCTCATCAGATGGTTATCAATTTTTATAAATTCATATGATGTGAATTTCTGGAATTTTCTTTGGGGATTCTGTCTTTCACTGTTAGAATGTACTTATGATTAAAGTTATAGATCGTTGCATTCTTTGTAAGTGGGCAAACCTGCAAAATCAGCAAGGGGTCAAATACTTATTTCCCCCACTGTAGCTGACTGTTTGTTTGTGATCGTTAAATGTGAACCACAGGACTGAGCTTATTAAAGATGCCAACTTTAGGGGGATGGTTCAGTTGTGAAGGATTTATATGAGATATTTAGCTTTTTTCAGTATGAGAAACAAATAATACTGTCAAATAGGAGTAAAATATGAATCGAGTATCTCACCGAACCTGAATAATCCAAGCAGAAACATCTTTTTCATAGATAAAAAATAGGCAAATTAACTTACAAATGAGGTCTCCAAGAAAGAAAACACTAATATTTATCCATTTATCTAAAAAGGTAGACTGTCCTCAGCCGTTTGGAGGTAAAGCGTCTAACCCCTAACTGGGATTGCATCTATGAGACAGATCTGGTCCGTGGAGGCTGGGTGGGGGGGGCTGATCAGGTGAGGGGTGAGTACCTGCACTGAGCCCCCGTGCCTGTCCGCTGCCAGGTGGGAGGTCAGATAGGAGGAGTTTGCTTGTCGAGTGGGCTGCACCTCCCATGCTCCTCGTCGATCTGAGACCGCTGTCTGCTCGGGAGTTGGGTTGCATTTGGTGATGTGGGGGGGTTGGGGGGTGGTGGAATCGAGGGTGCAATGGGACAGGTGAGTGTGATCGTGTGAGGAAAGGTGGACATTGTGCGTGGCAAGGTACCATGCAAGGCGGCATGAAAAATGGAGAAGAAATCAAATTAATAAAACCAAAAAGTGGGAAATTAAAAAACAGAAGATAAAACAAATTAAAAGAAAAATTAAAAATCAAAGCAAGGCTTCAGCCAGAGCACGGAGTCAGAAACTAAAGAGCCTGAAGCCAAATGGATGGGAGCTCTTTAAGATCAAACGTTTGCCTCATTTTCATTCAACTTACATGACATAGAAATGAAAAAAGACACAGCTGTGAATGTTTGTTTGCATTTTTCATTTACAGATGGTCTTCCACAAAAAAAAAAAAAAGAAAACAAAAAGGTCAGAAATATGTGGATGCGAGGGAGATCTTTATGGACTCTGTTAACGTCCAAAAGACCAGACCCAGAGGGACACTGATGTCTTATTCTGCTTCAGTCGCCTTTTCTGAGACGCTAAATTACTTTCCTTTTACATATACTATCATTTATGGTTTTTGGAAGTTTTAGTGGACTCTGTCAGGTTTTAAGGAGGATTCTCTCAGGTCAACGTTCGGTTTGAGGACCCCCCCTGTACCTGGTTCCTGACGGGCGGGTGCTGGGAGGGCCGGTCCCTGTGGGCGTGGCTCTCCCTCGTGACGGCAGACGCTGCTGAATCTATGTGGACAGATCCCACCGGTGTGGGCTGAGAGACACACACACACAAAAAAAGAGTTTTTAACTCATTGGCTGCCAAAGACGTCTATAGACGTCAATTCAAATACAACCGTTCGCTGCCAAAGACGTCTATAGACGTCTTTTATGTTTTTCAACGAGAGTGGCTGGGGGACGATCTGCTAAAGCTTGTCCGTAAATATCGGCTTCTAGACAGAGTATGTAGTAACAAATTGACCCTCAAGGGGGCAGTGCCACTTTTGATGGGAGATGAGCATAGACTGTAGGCAAATAAGAAAAAGGTAACGGTTCGCTATAAGAGAAATGACGCCGGTGAGACACAAGTCCAGGAAGAACGGAATAAGGTAGAAACAACTTTTTTTTTTCCTGATGAAAGAAGAGAGTCTACTCTTTATTTTGGCATGTTCTGTGTTTACATAGTCATAGCACAAACTATTCTGTGGCTCTTGAAAAATCAGTCAAAATGCTCCAAAAACTCTGGCAGTATGGTACTCTCTGTTCTGAAAATGGCTGGCAGTCAATGAGTTAACCAAGTCGGGAGGCTCGATATGAGAAGGCTAAATAAACAAAGCCGACACGTTTCTCGACGGGCCACTTACTATCTGCCTGCCAACCCAGTCGTAGGTGTAGTCGAAGGTGTACCCTTTCCTCTCAAACAGTTCTGTGAACAGCGTCCTCAGGTACTCATAGTCGGGCTTCTCAAAGAAGTCCAACCGTCTCACATACCGCAAGTATGTGGCCATTTCCTCTGAACGAAGCAAAGCAAAAACCAAAGGTTGGAGCCTCCGACGTGGATAGCGTTTTAACTTTTTTAACGGGAATGTGATCAGTCGTCCGCAGCCATACCTGGGAAGTTCTCACAAAGAACCTCGATGGGAGTGTTTCGTTTTGTGTCTCCGATCTTCTGGTATCTTTCCTTCAGTGTGTCAGCCTGAAACAGATCCCAAGCGTTTGCGTTTACAGTTTACTACATTCAGAATAAAAATGTATCTTAAGAAAATAAACGTCTCAATTTCTGTCAAATATGTTGTTGACTGCATCTAAAATACAAAGTTTAAACTAGTCATGCAATTTAATTGGACTTTTATCTAATTTGTACACTTCGCTTGAGCTTTTTTGTGGTTTGTGTGAAGATCCTGATGCCATTATTGGACTTTAAACAAAAAAATTATCAGAGAAGCAGGTCCAATAATCAACTACAGGATCCTTCTTTTTACTGTAGCTGTGTTGGTTAAATAAAACAAGACTGATTTTGCAACAGACTCTGGAAAATGTCCATGTGCTCGGCATACCTTTAGTCCTTGCCAAGGCAGACTCCCACGGAGGAAATACATAAACATATGGCCTAAAGCCTCCAGGTCATCTCGCCGGCTTTGCTCTATATCAACAGATTTGATCACATTGCACTGAAAAACTTCAACAGTATGAGCCCAGAAGTCTTTCTTACCAGAAAAACCCCAGAGAGATTAAACAGAGAAGCATGCTTTGAAGCGAGTCCCACCTTTTCCTAAGTGCGTGTTGATGGACATGTATCTGGCGGTACCGGTCAGGCTCTTGTGCTCCCGGTACGGAATGTGTTTTTTGGTCTCGGGGTCGATGTACTCTTTGGCCAGGCCGAAGTCGATGATGTGGATGATGTGTTCCTTTTTATTGCCTTGCCGCCCAATCAGAAAGTTTTCAGGTTTGACATCTCTGTAGATGAGATTTTTAGAGTGCACGTACTCCATCCGAGAAATCTGGAGAGGAGAAGTAAAAAAAAAAGAAAAAGGGATCAGTCAGAACGACCCATTTCTAAAGGAAAGGCCTCACAATCATCAAAGCGGGAATAAAGATGAAAAAGAAAAACAACAGCTGATAATTCTACAGTCCTCTGGTTCTAATATCAGCCATTTTCCAACCTCAGTTAAATACTATGCAATAGTTAAACTGCTTAATACCTTTTGTGTCAGTATGATGGATATGAAGAAAATAATAGAAGGACTGACCTTTTACCGCCTTATTATTATTACAGTCACAGAGACAGAGACGAGAACAGATGCAGTCTTTTGCAAACATGAGAGATTAGCATCAAAAGAGCAGCCAGAGCTTTGTGCTTATGAAACGCGCTAAACGGAGTCGCTGTGAGCTCCGTGTTCAACAAGAATAGCAGCAATCAATGGTGCAAGAGATAACACCCTTTCGTTTAGCAGGAGGGGGGGAACAGGCAAACGGTGCATATATACAGGAGAGTTAGATATGTAGTCAAAACATCAAGGGAATGCGTGACATTCGGATGAAAACAGACGGCCGGGGTATCGTCCCTGTTCACTGTTCAGAAACCACCTGGACCACAAAAATACAGCGGACTTTATGTTTTCAGATTTATGCTGAAATGGGAGGAGCTGAGATGTGTCAGATGCAAGGAGAACTGGGGTTCTCCAACCAGCCCAGCTGTGGGGAAAGCTACCGACTCCTGTCTATCAATTAAATTAAATTAAATTAAATTTTATATATATATATCCACACATCACAACAACAGTTGTCTCACAGCGCTTTCCAAACAGAGCAGCTCAGACCCTACTCTGAAGTTAATTACAGAAACCCAACAATTCCCACCATGAGCAAGCACTAGGCGACACAGGGAAGGAAAAACTTCCTTTTAAGTCTCACTTCCTTTTAACAGGCAGAAACCTGGAGCAGAACTATGGCTCAGGGTGGGGGGGGCATCTGCCTCGGCCGGTTGGGGGTGAGAGAGAGACAGAGGGAGGCAGCCAACACATTAACACATAGACTGGATGAAAATTGGCAATTACATTGAGACTAATGATAATGATAGCAGTAATAACAGCAATAAGACTATGAACAGTGGCTGTAATGGTAGCAGAGGAGGAACACGGGGACAGCAGGAAACTCCCAATCACAGATCCAGCTTCCACAGCTCTAGGAACCCTAGACTATCACACTATCACAGAACGCAGGCAGGGTTTGGACAGACTAAACTCAATAAACTCTACTTTATTTCCCTAATACAAACAGGACCCTGCATGGGCAGCAAATAACGTCACCCACTCTCATCAACATGCACGCAAAACCACCGGAGATCCTTTACTAAAGCCCGCTGCCCTTATTTGGACAACCTGAAGGAACAGAGCAAGCTTTTAGAGGGGAATTCATGCGTCTGCTTCCATTTCTCGTTTCATTTTGGTGCCAAAGGAAAAAAACCTGTCCTCCATCCTGGTAATAATGTTCATTATAGATCCAGAGGGCTTGGGAAAAAATACTAACACAAATATGTATCCCCCAACACTGTTTTAAAGCTTTTGACAACACCTTATTTTTGGGCAAAGTCCTCCTGATAAGAAAGCCTGTGAGGTGCTTTCCGACGCTTAAGAACTTCTTAAGAACTTCTTAAGAACTTTAAGAAACTTCTCCATCTGTTTTACTTTAAACCCTTTTGGGAATTTAGGGGCCAAAAAAGTGTCATTTTCAATAACTGACCACTTTTATAAGGGGTTTATAAAAATAAATGAAAGTCTGGCAAAGAATCTTTGATGAGAAATTGATTTAAACTCCACATTGCTCCTTTACACTTCTATATATAACATACTGTGTGGAGGTGGGGGGAAATACCTACAGAACAAACAATCCAATTACATTCATCAAAAAAGAGCAATAAGAATTATAAATAAAACCTGCAAATGTGAAATCAAAGGATTTCGTTTGAGATAAGAAATCACTAAACCCTAAAAGGTAATAAATACAACAGCCCATTTAACATTTAATCAATTTACACAAGTCAATAGGGACTATTAAATTAAAAGAAATGAAATAGAAAACATTACACTCCAAACTTACCAGCTGAATGGCTATCATTAGGACAGTCTTCAGGGAAAAGGTCCTGTCACAAAGGTCAAACAGGTCCTCTAGACTGGGGCCCAGCAGCTCCAGAACCATGGCGTTGTATTTCCCACAGGGCCCGAAGTAAAACACCTGGGGCACGCCCTCTGCTGCAACACCAAACAGAAACACACACACAACATTTAAGGCAGAAATTCCTGCAATTAGGCGAGTAAAAAGTTGATTCACCCTTTGATTAAAAGCGGATCTGAGTTATCCAAAGATCCTCATCATACAGTGGGGGAAATAAGTATTTGACCCCTTGCTGATTTTGCAGGTTTGCCCACTTACAAAGAATGCTTGTTTTTCCTCATCAGATGGTTATCAATTTTTATAAATTCATATGATGTGATTTTCTGGAATTTTCTTTGGGATTCTGTTTCTCACTGTTAGAATGTACATATGATTAAAGTTATAGATCGTTGCATTCTTTGTAAGTGGGCAAACCTGCAAAACCAGCAAGGGGTCAAATACTTATTTCCCCCACTGTATATAAAGCTTTAGTATAAACGGAAGAGCAGATCCTATACAGCCGATATTAAAGAAAAAGGGCGTCAGTGTTTCTCTTGGCTCTAATAAAAGGTAATTATCCTATTTAAGTTGGCCAAGGTGATCAATATTCCTATCTAACTTGAACAATGATAATTTAAGTCAACAGTGAAGTAAGAAACCTGAAACTGTGAGGTGAAAGAGGGGGGGAGAGGGGCACCGCGTGGTTACAGAGGATAGGGATCAAAGCGGGCTTCAAGGTGAATGTTGACCCTCAAGTAAAACACAACCATGTGGGCAGATGTGACTGAACGGCTCCGCCTCTGCAGAATGGAAACTAATCTTTGGGCTGCCTCGCATATCGACCTCCCGGCTCCACTCCCTGTAATTGCTCCACTCGCCCCTCCATCTGTCACCTTGGCCTTCACTTTGCTCCTTGTCACAGTGCAGTTTGGAACAGAGAGGTCTGAAAGGCGGGGGCCGGCCCCCACGTTCTCC